GCGAAGGACCCACCAATATGGAGCAGGCAATACCAAGCAAAACGCTCAGGCCACGCGAGGTTAATGAGATTGGGATCTTCCTTAGGGAGTTCCTCACTAGATGGGGACGTGATCGACGACGAGCACGACGTCAAGGTACTAAAGAAGGAGGGCGAAGGTCTCCCACAGTAGGCGATCATAGCCCAGTTGGGGACAAAGCAAAGAATTCTGCTGCTTCCTTCGCCTGTCCTTCCACTCAGGAAACTAATTTTTTCTCGTTCACTCTAGACTTTCCAAGGCTCTAGTTTTCAAGGAGTCTGTGAGGGATACATATGAAATACTTTGTGTCGATATTTTAAATGAGAGTTCAAGCTTATAGATTGTAGTAGTATATAGGACCCCATCATGAGCGGTCATAAATATTATGTTGCATAATTATTGCGGATTTTTTCGCGGCTTCTTCTCTCTCGATAGAATGGAACTTTTAAATTCGGGATTTTTGTAGAAATAATCTTCCCGCTTTCCTTAACAGAAATATGTCTAGAAAGTCATCTTCATATACGTCGAATTATGCTCTATTTCTTCGAGAAACGTTGGAAGGCGGCACACTCATAACGTGATCTCAACGATTTTCTCGGCCATGGAACAGTCAGCCAAAGCCGAATAGGGAATGGAATCTGCTTCTACGGTTGCCCTGCTCATTAACAGAAACTACTATGGACTAACACATCAATCGCCCGTCAGAAAATTGGCTAACGAACAGCACTTTCGACGAAATGAATGGCTTGATGGCCAACGATCGCCTCCAAGAATCGAAACTTCTTCGCCTGTGGAATCCGACCGCCTAGCAAATGGGAAGGTGTGCTTGACGTAGATGATGGATATGTTCCGGAGCAATTATTTTAACATGTCTTTGCTAGATATTTCTATCGTTTCTTTAAGAAAATTTGCTGGAAAACATCCGCAATAATTATGCATCAACCTAGTACTAAGCAGTTGATCAAAGTCCTCAGTTATCTCATTGCTTGTGAGCTCCAAACTGATTGTTGGAGGTTTTAACGTGCCGGAATTGTATTACAACGCTAATACGTTTACTGATAGCTATCGCAACATGTCGTAGGACCGACATGTTGCTTTAATTTTTGACTGTGAAGCAACTCACAAAAGACTAGGTAAGACACCTAATCTCACACCTAGACTAGGTAAGATTCTGTACCTGGTCCTCAGCAGCAAGCCTGATTTAGTTAGCAATCTAAGAGTACTTTCCTCAGTTGGGTACAGCGATCACAGCAGGATCTTTTTTGAAATCACCAGATATGACAGCATGACATTAGTCACTTTTCGGAGAGTAAATTCTGCATGTAACTTTGCAACTTTACGAAGCGATCTTTCTCGTACACGCTGGGTTGAGTTACTTGAGAGCTGTGGTAGTGTCAATGAGAAGTATGAGTTGTTGTTACTGCACGCTGCCATTGATTACTATGACCCTTGGGAAAGAGTGACCTCGTTCAGGTCTATTCCTTTACCAGGTTGTTTGGAAAGCCTGAGTGAGTGAAATTGCCTCTTTCACGAAGCAAGGCAAACTGGAAATTGGTCTAAATATAATGAATCACAGGATATTCCTCAGTAAGTACATCCATAACATCGAAAGAGAATTGGAGAGTAGGGGGTTCGAACTTTTACAAGTATTTAAATAGAAAATTGCATGACAAAGGGTGCTTCGGTTCTCTGAAATGTGAAGACCTCAGCCAGGCATAAAGTCCAGATGTTAAAGCTAACATGTTTGCCGATCAGTTCTCGAAGTCTTTCTGAATGATGATGCTAATGTCCTCACTTTTCACCGACTTCCGCTTATGAACGAGCTACCCAGGTTTTATTTTGTTCAGCGCTCTTGCGAAAAACTTCATAGGCCTGTCACAGGGCTTAGTAACTAACTATTTTACTCAGACAAAACCGATTTTTCGCCTATTCCTGAGGAATTGAGGAGCATTTATATTAAGTGCAATAGACAGCACCCACATGCCATCCCCCGCATAGGGGCGCCGTCCGCGGCGCCTAGTATGAATGCGCCCATTCCCTAGCTTTCTGAAAACGAGAATTTCGTTCCTCTCAAGACATACAGAAATACACAGTTGACTTCAGAGCATACGCTTGACGATGCCAATACAACACAAAATGGGATGCCAATACATCTGAGTCTCAAGAATACTAAATTACACGTCAAGAAATATCATAGAATACTAATTTGTCAATAGCTTAAATAAAAGTGAAGCAGAGGCTGCTCAACTAGCCTACAATCATTCGCTGTATCTTGTATCACCCTTCTAAAAATGTCGTTTTTGGTCAGCTTTACAGGTATTTTTCCAGCTATCGAAAGAGCAATGAAGAACAAGCTCTGGTTTACCTGTATTTTGGTAATTTCTTTGTATGAACTTTTCTCACAAGTTACTTCCTTCCACCATAAATGTCTTTTACAGATGTTCGCGCTAACTACGTTCGGAACTGCATTCTTTTATGAATTCTGCGCCAGATACGGCATATGCAAGTAGTAACTCTTCCTACTCGATAAAGTTTAGTGGAAAAGTTAGTTGAAACATGGGTTCCAAATGGAAAAAACTATATGAATAAATAACATTTAACTCAGGAAAAAAGAAAAATCCCACCTTACCTCGCCCACCACGGTTTACATAATTATTCAACATTGCTTCTCCTTCCCTTGAATTCTCGGCTTTCTGCCAACTTTCTCTCTAAAAACCACATTCATTTCTTCTCTAACACAGTCCACCAACTTCCAATCACGAGAGAAGTGAGCATATTGAGAAGTATATAGCCTGACTCACTTCACTTTACGAACAAAATGGGAAGCGGATTTAGCAACATCGTTTAAAACAACCTTTTTTGAAAGCTTTAGTTCTATTCTGGAGTCAATTCGAGCTCATGGCGACATTATTTTGAATGCATCAATTATGATAATTTCCATCCTAAAAAAGACGTAACAACCTAGAGAGTTCTACAAGCAGTATGGGCATTAATGCGAGTTCAAAAGCTCTGAACGAACGTAGCATCAACGAACCCCAATCGGACTTAAAATGCAATGAATACCAGGCGTCAACAATGATGAAGCTTAAGAAAGGACACCCTGATGATCAGAACAAGCCTACTCATCGGATCGTTTTCACTCCCTTCCAAAAAAACTTCATTAACAAATACCATAATACTTCAAAATACTGCTATCTCTGGATTTTTCCAGACTCAGGTGAAAAGGTAGTGGGGGGGGGGGCACCCATCCGAAGGTCAGTATATCAAGGAATGAACTCAGTCTAACGTGTTAATCCTTGTTATATTAGCACTGTATCGAATGCGTAGAGGATGATGGACACCGACCAACTTAGCTCTTTTATGCGGTTACAGCTAGGGAAATTTAGTTTACCAAATAAGCCTAGGTAGGGTAGGAGCACCTGAGTGGCTGGGATGACTACCTCTTGCAAAAAAAAAAGAAAAAAGAAAGAAAACTTGCTCACTGCGGTGCTCCTTCCCTACGACAGACTTTAAAAACTGGCATGTCCGTGATATAACAGGGCATAACGCGTTTCATTGAGTTCATTTCTTTATATACTAGCTTTTGAATGGGTGCCCCCCCCCTCCCCCCAACTACATCTTCACCCGGCGAACGTCCGTTGCGCGTGTCCGTCG